TAGATGAGGCAATTTATTAGTGAGAAATTGCCTTGTGGTCAGGTAATAGTTATGCAATATGTACAAAAAAAATACCAAAGGATAGATGAGCGAACAAAAACAGTAACGCCTGTAGGTAGAGCTCTCATGTTCTAATAAGTGGAATGGTGAGTGAAATCCTAGATATATAAATAGAGAGCGTCATGGGACTATTAGAGAGAAATAAGTTGCGAGAGGCCAAGATTATGGAATCAATTTAACCCAAGACTGCCAAACCGTTTTATTGTTTCAGTAACTCTGATAATAAGGGAAAGAAACCTGTTTTTAATCTCTTTGATTGTAACAAGAGTTCTCTGTTTGGCTGCTGTTTACTTGTTTGGCTGCCAAGATCCAAAGTCAGATCAGCCTGTGGCATTTCTGGAATTCAGAAATGTGATGCCTAGGAGGCACGCTACAGGAAATTTGTGAAAGGGTTTTCAAAGGATCTGAAAGATTGGGTTGGCAACATCTAACTGGACAGTGCCAACAGATGTGGGCATAATATTTCATAAGGATGGCTAAGTGACCCCTGAGACTTGTACAGAACTCAAGCGAGGGAACCAACCATGAAGTCAGACTGACTGAAAAAAAGGGGGTAGGATGCATGAGAGGTACATAGACAGGCAGGGTTGAAAAGTATACTCCAACCCAACACTGGTACACGGTGACACAAGAAAACAAAAAAGCGTGGACAAAAACATCCACATTAAACACCCGAAATTGTCACTGGGGTCTGAGAGGAATTCTGCAGGACCTGTCTAATATTGAGCAGAGAACATGGTTCTAAGAAACTCCTGGAGCCACAGTGCTATAAGAACATTCACATGGTTAAGGACATGACTGAGGAAGGGATTTGGAGAACTTCATCAAGAGGCTACGGATCAGGCACGGGAGGAAGACCCACCTTCAGATGTTCAGGTCACACAAAGGTCTCTGGACATACTATCTCTAACAGGGGGCATCTTTAGCGGAATTCCAGCGTGTTCTGCCTGTTGACAATCTAGGAGAGCCCAGAGCCCTCCAACATTAATATGTGCCTGCCATGCAGAAGACAAGAAGCAGAAGTGTATGAACCTCTTCCTTTGGCATAGAGACCACTGGCTGACAAGAGCCAGAAGCCAATGCTTTGTCTCTAAGGAAGACAATGAGGTCCAGAGTAGAACTCTCAAGGTAAGAAAGAGCATGAATTGTGCTACTCTAAGATAGGTGGTGATGGGAAATTTGAAAAGGTGCCCAATATAGTGCAATCAGTACTCCTGGTACTTCAGCTCAATTGAATTTACAAAGTAAGTAACCAGAGGCAAGGTCACACCTGGAGCTGTGTCATGAGTCTGAACCAGGAAAAAGAAGGGTTGTATGGGGGCTGGGTTACACTTTTTCTGTTTGCCATTGTCCTAAACCTCCTGTAGAGGACAGTATACTTCTATTATGGAATTCCTGGAAAGGAATAAAAAAATGTTTTGTTGCAATTTGGAGTGACTGTCTATCATTTCCTGTCCAGGAAGGTTGCAAATAAAAGCCAAAGTGCTACAACTTCCCCACCACCGTGGAGGGCCTTAGAGTATATGTCAAGTTAAAAGGTATAATACATACAAAGGAGCTGTTTTTTCTGCCAAAGGATTTGTATTGTATAGTCTGTCTATCCAGTACTGAGTGTTACACACCTCTGTCACAGCACAGCCCTGACTGGCAGGACAGGTGACCAGCGTTTGGCTCTGAAATTCAAAAGGATTTGGCGTCAGCCCCCCTACCTACTTCATTTCTGATGGATTACAAATAACTCAGACCTGTGCCCGCAGAGAGCACAGGAAGTTATGAGCTCAGAAGATTGGAAGAATACCAAGAGGTATTGTTGCACCTATAAAACATATAAAACAAACACTAGGGGGGTCTTTCACACAGTTTAGTAAGCACATTACGCATATACTTTAACACTTACAGGTCTTGCCCCCTCCCTAGCTTGTGAATGGACAATGAAGTAGCACACTGATGAGCTCATCTCTCTGCTCTCTTCCCATCAGCATGCTCCTTGTTAGTGCATGAGCACTGAAACTTCAGTGAAAGTTTACATTTCCTATAGAATACATTTAGGCAAGGTTGCTTTCTACAGGATCCAAAGAGGGTGGAACGGAGATTGGGAGGCTTTTTATTTGTATTCTAATCATTGTGGCTCCTTAAATGACACATCCAAAAGCAAATGCACATTCTTACAGAACAGGTTTATTTTTGTAAAGTAAAAACACACATCTCAGTAGCGTGGTATTTTTTTATTATATATGTATGAAACACTTAAATCACAATAGAAACAATACAAGTCATATGGTGTATGCAGTGCATACAATTTACATGCATATAATGTGAAATCACATAACAGTCATCGAATATCAGCCTACATATTATACAAGGGATCACATATATATCTGTTCTGTCTGATCAGGCTACCCAGAATCCTTTTTCCCTGAGGTCACATGACAATCTCAGAACCCCCTACCCCACCATAGGACATTCATAATTTGCCAGCCTGAACAAACTACATAATGTATACATAAGGTTTATGTACATTGCTAGACATGTTCGTGGTGACCTAATGTATGTACTGTAACTCTGTTATCGGCCATTCTGAGAATCCATACAATAGTGCTGTGTGAAATTGACCTGGGAAAGGGAATAATGTGGCATTAATGGATGACTTGTTTACATTCTCTGTTTTCAATTTGATAACCGAAGAAAAAAAAATACCCAATCACTGACCCCGTATAAAATTTAGAATTCCAGTTTAAGGTATTTACATTGAAATTAATGGAGGACTGGACCAGAACTAACAAAATAATAAACTGAAAGGGTGCTAAGGCACGGTATGGGCCATGTGATTAACTGGCGAGCAAAACACCATTATGAATAAGTATGGCTAAAAATATACAACCTTAAAATGTAATTACATGACATATCGCAAAGGGTCAGCTCAGCCTACATGACATATTTCAATGGGTCAGCTCAGCCTACATGACATATCTCAATGGGTCAGCTCAGCCTACATGACATATCTCAATGGGTCAGCTCAGCCTACATGACATATCTCAATGGGTCAGATCAGCCTACATGACAACATAGCAAAGGGTCAGCTCAGCCTACATGACATATCTCAAAGGGTCAGCTCAGCCTACATGGCATATCGCAAAGGGTCAGCTCAGCCTACATGGCATATCGCAAAGGGTCAGCTCAGCCTACATGACATATCTCAAAGTGTCAGCTCAGCCTACATGACATATTGCAAAGGGTCAGCTCAGCCTACGTGACATATCTCAAAGGGTCAGCTCAGCTTACATGACATATTGCAAAGGGTCAGCTCAGCCTACGTGACATATCTCAAAGGGTCAGCTCAGCCAAAAAAGACATTTCCGTTATACGTGTAGTGCCGAATCCCACATTGATTACTTCTATCCTGCAGGTACCATTAAGTTCTCTCCACCCTAGTTCCAGGTTGTATTCCTAGCCAACTTAAATTTATTTGGTATGTCTGCCAACCTCTGGGCATGTTCCCACTGCTCCCCTTTTATCCATAATATACATTCAACGAAGAAAGTGAACCTCTGCATAATAGCCGAAACATGTGTGGATACCTAGGAGCACACAGAGATCTTAATGGAGTCTCAGAGATATGAGAAGCCATTTGGTGAATTAATTCTCCAACATCTAAAAAATAGATTTGGGTGGACTGACCCTTTAATACTTTGTTATTAAGCACCAAATAAAAAATGAATGACAAACCCAAACGGACATCTTGGGGAACATAAATATGGATTGGTTCAATTGCTACATTAGTGCACACTATGACCTACACTTCCAGGCTATTCTACTGAATAAAAGGTCACGAAGTTGACTCCTTCCACTAAATAGGCGATAACTACATTTCTGAAAGGCTAACAATAGTCTGAGAAACATCAAATATGATTTCTTCCGATCAGAGTTCTATTTAGATGTACAAACATATTAGGGGTGGCACTAAAGACATACCCGTGTTTACAAGTGCCTGTAACACCAATAATGTCATAGCTGAGCTTCTAGGATGTTGTTATGGCACAGATCACCTCCATAGTTCTGAAAAGCTTTACACATCCATGCCAGTATTTCAAACCATTTGGTAGGGTCCAAGGATGTACTCTTTTTGCATGAGAGTTTAAATCAAAGCGTACGTATACTCAAAAACCAAAATGTAATATGTGGGAGCTCACCAGTCCTTAGATCAGGTGGCTACATTAGATTTCTTCTTTTTTTTTTTCAGCTGGTGATCCAGGAAACACCACACTTCCTGCCCTAGGGGTGGCTACTTTCACTTCTCTATTGCATCTATAGAGGGAGCCATAGTTGTCACACAAGCTGGACTTCAAACACTGCTCATCTCAATGACATGGTGGATTGAGATGAGCAGGTTACACAAAATAGATTAGGGTGTCTGTGCTTTTCTTTTCAGTTCACAGGAAGTGACAAGGATGACACGTTTCTAGAAAGATCAATAGTTTTGCCTTAGCACAATGCTCTGGTGGGAAATTAATGGATCTTATCTTGAAATATGAAAACTAATGCAGACACATCTAAGGATTGGTGAACTGCAATATATCAAATTTTAGTTTTAAATACGCTTTCAGTACACTGGCTACTTGCAAGTCTACTCTGTGGTCAAGTCCCAGAACAGCAAAATAAGTTCCCGGATAATCTTTAATGAAAAATGGCCACTTTTTATGAGGTACAAACGTCAGGTTACGCTCAATGTAAAACTAGTGTTTTTGGCCTGTAGCTGAAAGTGAACATAATGCCCCATCAGAATTGTTTTGTCAAGAAGTCCGGCATTACTTGTTTTTTGATTCAGGAACCATATCATTGGTTTACAGTTAAAAATATTAAACTAAAACTTAAAACTGCTACAAATATTCTAATATAGCAAATTATTTTATACATATACAAAAATCCAACCTTTTATAGGGCATAACCAAACATAAAACATGAAAGATATTAGCTATAAGACCCAGCTAGTGATCTGTCCTGCTCTCCGTGGTTCTTTACTGGATGCTAGGAGATCAGGACCAGTGAACATACTATAGTAAATAAAACAAATCCTTCATGTAAAACAACCGGTGTTACTTTGATAGGATCCCTTTCACATATTCCTCCCTATAGGAGTGGTTTGGTCTGCGTTTGCTACATTGTTTCAGTGCTCTCTGTACTATAGTGAATGGCCTGGTAAGAATACCATCCGGTTATTGGTTGGGGCATTTTAAAAATGGACATATTCCAACTCTAGTCCTCCAGTACCTCCCACACTGCATATGTTCCAGCTCTATACACCGAATTAAAGGTGAGATAGTAAGGGTGCATTTATTTAAGTTGAGAATAAAAAAAAGTACATTGCACCAGTTCCCTTACAACGTATATCAGTGGCCATGCAGTAGTGGTGAGGTGAACCCTTAAATCAGAAAAGTGAATTATCATGCATAACTGTTTCCGACTACATAAAATACAAAGCACTGTGTGTGCACAACTGGACTTGTATGTTTGTAAGGGACCATCAAACAAGAAAATGTCATGCATTAAATATGTGTAATCATGTGAACTTACCATATCAAATCAAACATCAAACATAGACACCGCCACACACATCTCAAAGTGCAGCTGGCATTGGCAGTCCCTGAGGATTGGAGCTTGGAATCGAGTTATGAATGCATGAATTAAAACCTTCAAACCATACAAATGTAGAAACAGCTATGACCAATGTTACTGTTCCTCTATCTTCTGCAGACTATAACCTACCGCCTATCTGCAATACGGAGAAAGGCCCAGACCTATACTCAAGAGCTAGTAGTTCTTCAAGATATGCAACATTCTAAACCATGGCACCCTTCATAGGAACAGCTAAAAACAGAATATCATATTAAACAATGAAAAGATAAAAGTCTTCTTTAAAAATACATTTTGTGGTAGAAAATGCCACCAAATATTTGGAACTAAACAACCGAGAAAAGATAGACCCTATAGAACAATGTTTGGTAACACAGAATGGTTCTAAGAAGGGACATTTGTGCTACAAACGCCTACACAAACATTCTTACAACATTAGTATAAAAGGAGTAGAAATCTAGTCCAACTGAAAATAAAATACATATGTTGAATTCACAAGGCAGACCACATTGACCCACAGAGACAATGAGAAACAGGAAAAGAACTTTGAAAGAAATGCATGAAAAAACTTTCCGGGACGGGGCCAGTGGTTGGAAATGTCTGCAGTTGTGAAATGAAAGCCGCCCAACAATGAACACCACCAAGGCTTTGTATCATACCACAGGAGAATAACAATCTCTGCTGTACTCATGGGGCTTTCAGTAAAAGTTGTTAGGACCAACTTTTCTTCTCACATCTGATGAAAGCATGTGGTTCACTAGACCCCATGCAAAAATCGGTGCTTTTAAAGCAGAAATTGCCAGGTCATAAAAAAACAGTAACCACCACTGCTGTCTTGTTTTTAAAGGAGCATGCTCCAGGGCGGTCATCCTTGTATTACTACTTGTGTAGATTGTTCCCGGTGAGACACTAACCGGGAACAATCATATGAATGTCAGGAGTCGATGCAATCTTGTTCTAGGCCAGGGGTAGGCAAGCAACTACAAATCCAACAAGGCATTGCAATACAAACAGCCAGAGGCATGGCTCCCAGAGACATAGGCATGATGGATTGCAGTTTCACCATGGCGGGAGTTCTGAGGTTGCCTACCTCTGCCCTGGTCCAATGGCTAAGCAACTAAGGTAGGATTATAGGTTTGAAGATTGGCACCTTGAAAAGCAAGTTTGCAATGGCAGCTTCCATATTTCTGACCTGGCAGGTGTGCTTAAAGAGGTTCTCCTGGAGAGTGGTAAAACTGCCTTACTCACTCATGTCGAGCAATAAACGTTTAAGCTTGAACCATGGACTGTGTTGGGTTTGAGCCCCTACCTGAAAATACACAGTCCTGAAATGGTTGTTGGAAGTAGTGCTATGCATAAATATTCAGTTCTATAAATGTCTGTTGCAGCACATCCCCTAATGAGCAAACCATCTTAGCAGGATGATTCCAGATAAGGGTTCAGGCTTCACACTGCCATCTCCTGTGGTGATTAATGAGCTCCATCAGGGAACAGATTTGAACATTTTCCTGTACAATCTCTGTAAAAGGCAGTTAAAAATCAATAACAATCCACAAAGCACAGTGACCCGATGCAACAAAGAATCTTCCACTGATCTGGTTACAGTAAAGTGGAATATGTGCATTGTAGAAAGTTTAAATTGATTTCATCCATCCCAAATTTCTTGACAAAGTTATAAACTTGTAGACTATAAAAAATAGGGTCTAAAAATATAAAAACGCACCGTACAAAGCTGCTAGTCACCAACTGCTGGGCGTTCCTCCTCAATAAGAGACAACACAAGAAACTACTGTAACAGAAACTCGGGGGAAAAGGTGTCACACAACTTGAGAGATTCGTCTTACATATAGATCTACCAAGTCCAAAATGTTTAGGGAAGTCACGGTTTAAAAACAAAATTCACATATTCCAAGCAAACCTTGCTCGGAGGATATATAGAACACAAAAAATGTGTACATTCACATCTATGATACTGAGTACTACTCTCAGAACAAAGAGCGGTTATTTAACTGTTACTATGAAGAAGATATAGAGCATAGGGTTCTATATGCCATCTGTAAATGTAGACAAAGAAAGCAACAGCAGAGCTATTAATATTCTCTATTTTCTCTTTGCCAAAAAACGAAGCAAGGATAGCCAGCATTTTGTTTAAAGTGGATGTCAAGGCATTCTGTTTTTTAGTTATCCTTACCTCTTACATTATTGCTCTGCGGTCAGCATTGTTGATATATCTGGCGCTAGATCTCAACCTCAATAGTGGTAACAGGACAGCAAAAATGTCAGATTCTGCCACCATGGCTCTGAATGTGCAATGAAGAAGGAACCCATCAGCACATCTCCCTCTGCCCATAAATGCCTGCATAGTACCTCTCTGTGGTATGGCTATTGAGCTTATTGCAGAGCAAATCTTGCAGTGTCATGTGACTGACTGCAGCACAGCCTACTACTAGGCTACATTTTTAAGAAGCAGGATAACCACAACACGCTAAAAGTCAGCTTTACGCTACATTCACAATGTTTACAGACACAACCTGCCCTATTCCTTCAGCTTTAAGTACACGTGTAGTGTGCATGGCTGATTTTGCCACTGGACCTGGTTCTTGAATAAGGATCTGGAAAGCAAAAAAAAAAAAAAAAGGATTGGGGAAGACGATCTGTCCTGATGTAAGGAATGTGGAAGGCAATCTGTCCTGATGTAAGGATCAAGGCTTATCACAATCTGTCCTGATGTAAGGATCAGGGAGAAGGGACGTGTAGGGTGTACCTTTTCATCTATGATTGCCCTATCTGCAGCTTAAAGAGATTCTGTCTCAGCATCATTGGGCTCTCACAGAAACAGGCAGTCCCTGACTCAGCTGCCACATACTAATCCTGGGAAGTAAAAGCTTAAGGTACAAAACATTCCCTCAAATGCATTCTGAATTCTCAACAATGTCAAATACACACACACACTCAAGCCACCAGACTCCATCTATGTCAAGACAGACATATTTTAGCAACACATTTGGCCTACTTCAATGCCCCCCCTCCCCCCTTTTAGTATCCAGGTATCCACAGTGACCATCACCTAGCTTGAGGAACCAATTAGCAAGTCTCCAATGGTTTGGACTGTGATTGGATCATCCTAGATGCTACAGATTGTGATATTGGTACAGAATATTGTGCATTAGTACTAGAATGTTGTTGGGCCTCATTTGCACAGTTGTCTTAAATTGGAAAGACCTACATTGTTAGATGACAGCAAATTATGAAGTATGAGAATATAGTACATGACACATTGTTTGGGACAATAGTTCTGTATTTTTGGGGTTATGATTTGGCATTTAAAGAACTAATTTATACTGAAATATATACTATGAAAGGATTTGCCTGACACAAAGATTTATCATGAGGATTTAATATAACCAAAGTCACACAGTGAATTGTACAAGATACGGACATTTTCTCACTGGATTTATGTGTACTTTAGAAAACCATCTCCACTGTTTTCCCTACAATGGTGGCTAAAGTGTGGACTCCTGTACTGCAATTGTATCATGACACATTTCTATTATTTATAGGTTTTGTGAGCATTTCCTGGCTTCAGTACTATTGGTTTTAATTGTTTATGTACAAAGATAGGACACAATGCACATTTTTGGTAGAATTTTTAGCCACGTCTATGTTTGTTGTATTTCATTTGTATAATTAGCGGTCCTCTACATTAGTATCTTAGATACAAGTGATTTTTATTAATAAAGTGACATGTTTTAATTTACATACATGCAGTCCGGTGCTTGGGCTTCAGGATACATATGTGTGAACGTTTTGTAAGCTTAAATGTGGATCATGGAAAGCCTCCAATGAACATTAATGTGGCTGACTGTCCCATTTGGGTTCATATGTTTTCTTTATGGCCATTTACTCTTTTTCACTTTCTTCCTTTTCCTGCCATTTGAAGTAAATCATAGCTCTGAATCCAGGAAATAGTATGTGGCACAGGTTTTAAAGAAAGGCTTCCCCATCATCGTTACAGATTTCCCATGTCTCCTTCATGAAACCCAATATTCTTAGGTTGCACCAACACATTCAGTAGTGCCTTTGGGTGGCCATACTCCTTACCCCAGAAACAGATTGAGGCATACCAGTCAATGCTGCATTGTAACATCTAAGATACATCTACTTTCTATCCTGACAGCACAGCAGTGCCAATAGGTTTTGGAGACAGAAACAATTAGTTATCTACTTTAGTCCACTGGTTTATGTCAATAAGGAGACCCTCTCAATGGAGCATTGTGATGAAAGTAGTGTCTACAGTTGCACCAGCAGCTGTTAGTGACATGGTAAATGTGAAATACAGATGTTCATTCAGATTTACAGATGTTAAAAATAAAACAAACTCACATTTTAATGAGGAAAATGCAATAACGAAATAGGTTCCCTTAAAAAGTCAATCATTATTACATTTTTTCTAAAGGTTTTCATCAGTAAACTGAACAACATAGAAATTAAAGGTTTCCGTAGGGCAAGTTTGCCTAAAACTACAAAACAGATAAAAATCTGTGTTACAGGAAGACCGATTTAGATCTAAGGCATCACCTGGACTAAGAAGCCCCCCATACACATCTACTATGTAGCATGTTGTATATTAAACAATATCCCTAATTCAAGTGCAACATCACCTTCAAATAAAATGGATCTTACAGGATACAAATAAACACTAGATGTCCTTCTTTAAACTATATGAGGATACAATATAAAAATAACAGAAATGATGTCTTAGACTTTTTAACTTTATGAAAAATGCAGAAAAAACTACAGGCGCAGCAAACGGTGTGCCTATTTGGAATAAGCGTAACTGTTGAAAACAAAACATTGCCAACATAAATCAGCCCAGATTGTGTTACCTTGAAATATGGGTGACAACTGATCTGTGAGACTCCACACAATGCCCATCTATTACGGTCTGCTGGAAGATTATTTCCAGCCAATCCGTGTTGTCCTCTTTGTAACCAAATGACTTACTTTCAGGCTCCTAAAAATGTTGTGTGACAATACTACCTTCTGACACTTTAAAACAAGCCCCACCACCCACACAGACTATAAACCAAGAGAAATGGCAGGTATAGCAGGGCCAAAGTAAAATATATTTAGAAACATTTTACAGTGTGAATGAACCCAAATTATTTCAATCTTGGCATGGAAAGCTGGAGACTCTGAAAATGGATTTTGAAATAAAATGAAAGGCTTTATAAAAAATGTATGAAAAAAGAATAGCAATATTCTTAAAAGGTAAAATTGCCCTTCCAATTATTCAGTATCTTTACTTTTAGAGAAGAACTAAAAAAAAAGTAATGACATTTCTGATAATTATGAACTTTCCTTACAGTAAAAAGTTGTTCTATAATGTACAAGTATCACATATACGCATATATAGCTTTAAAATTACTGGGTATATAATAGGGCACATCTATTTCACAAGTTAAATGCTTTTAAAGGAGAATTCAGGGAAATTGAAAACGCTGCGTAATAAAAACATAGCTAATGTATCTAAAGAGGCAATAGTAAGGTGTATTTCCAGGAAGTGAAGGCTTTTGAGGCATGAGAAAGAGTATGAGCACCAGCAATAAGCAGTGTCATCGTGTTTGACTAGGCCCATGCTACAAGTGATATATACTTAACAAAATGCACTGACAATGAGCACTTCAAGCTACTGAAGCACAATATTTAGTCACCTGCATAGATTCTCAGTAGGATGCTAAGTAGCGGTAGCCAAGGCCAGATCTTTTTGATGTGATTATACATGGGTCGCTTTGATGAAGAGACGCACAAACGCTTCTAGTGGCAGGCATTATAGGTCAGTGCCATATACAGCTTACATATCAAAACGGCTGTAGTCCTTGCATTTAGAAATGAAAAGCAGCATTTTGGCAGCACTGACAGTATACACCAGAGGGTGAAAAGCCTGAAGGCACCGAGGCAGCAATTCCAGCCAAATTAAGAAGTCTGCCTTGCAAACATTGCATTTATAGAAACAAATCAAGTCACTACCAAACAAAAGAAATCAACTTAGGACAACTAAACACAAAAAATGATATGAGGCATTTTATTCTGGTCCTGAAATGTAAGGCACCAGATAGTTCAAATGTAATTGAAATTGTCTTTTCTGTGTAAAAGTTCTGACACGTTTGAAGGCATTTCACTGAAGTAAACAGAGGTTGGGCATCTTGTCCATCTTATGTCATGATGCCGGTGGCTTTCTGTATCAGAGGGATCTGTGGGAATAAAACAGGAAACCTGAGCTTACAGCAACAAATTCAAACCCAAAAAAGCATAGATCGCTTGTATACACTTGATTTTGGTCTATGGTTTTTCATGATCTAAAAAAAGTGAGTGTAGAATCACCAATGGTCAACTGCATGGATTAAAGTGACACTAAACTCAGGAGTTAAATCCTAAAAATGCATTCAAGTACCTTCACTAGCAAGAAGAATGTATCTCATTAGTGCATCACTCAGCTGTAGATCCTCAAATCATCTCTGAATTGGTGCTGACACTGTCCTTACCTCTGGAGGGTGGCTACTTTTGTTCCCCATGGTCCCTGTGTGTGTTGTAAAGTGGTGACCGCTCCAAGCTCACTCCCATGATCATGAGATGTTCGGCGGCTGCAATGCATGCTTGGATGTGACAGAGCTCCCAATGCAGTCTGCGCTCAGCAGCATTATGGACTCCTATCACCTCTGAAGGGCGCTGTTGGGTGGGTGGGCGTAAGCACCGTCCCCGCAGACAACTCTCCCTGCTGCAGACTCACAGACTGTCGGAGATTTCTCCTTACAGGCTGCAATCAGCTGCAGTGATCTGTCGTCTACTCAACCCTCCGCGCTCCTGTCCTGCAGTCAGCCGCGATCATCCCCATTCCAGCAGCTGGCCGCAATAGCCAGCCTGTTATTGGCTCTTTTAAACTGAAGTAGCCAATAACAGGCTGGCTATTGCACCCGCCCACTGCCTGCTGTCAATCAGCAAATGAGGACTTGATGGAGAACTTTCTCCTTCAGGTCCTCCTCTGCTGATTGACAGCAGGCAGTGGGCTGCTGCAATAGCCAGCCTGCTATTGGCTACTGCAATTTAAAAGAAGAAAAAAAAAAAAAAAAGTTAAACTAAAATAAAAATGCAAAAAAATATAAAAGTTAAATAAAGTAAAATTAAAAATACAAAAAAATTTAATTTAAAAATAAAAATGCAAAAAGTTAAACCAAACATTTTAAAAACAAAAAAATAAACAAAGTGAAAAAAATAAAAAGCACAGCTTCTTGAGACCCACAGCCTCCTAAAACCCACCTGCTATTGGTAACGGAAATTAAAAAAAAAAAAAAAAAAAAAAAAGTTAAACTAAAATAAAAATGCAAAAAAATATAAAAGTTAAATAAAGTAAAATTAAAAATACAAAAAAATTTAATTTAAAAATAAAAATGCAAAAAGTTAAACCAAACATTTTAAAAACAAAAAAATAAACAAAGTGAAAAAAATAAAAAGCACAGCTTCTTGAGACCCACAGCCTCCTAAAACCCCACACAGCCATCAATTTTCTATTATGGTTGTGAGTGGGGCCTCATGTTCAAGTTTCACCTAACTTTCGCCTACGGCCTAGAGCCGCCTCTGAATGAGTCATTCATTGGCAGCCGCACATAAGCACAATGACCTCGGCTAGTCATTCATGAATGACTGAAGGTGGTTCATTCTGCACATGCGCTGTCGCTGATGAGACTCATTCAGGGCCAACATGTAAACATCAAAAGTGTGTAATTGGTGGTGCAAGCACTGCTGGTTACGCAGCGTTCAGATTTAGAGCCAAAAGGAAATCTCACCGCTCCAATTCCTTAGCCACCATCAGGACTCCCCAGGTGCTGGTCTAATAGGTGCGCCTCCACCTTGGAATGTAGTAGTATACGAACAGACCGCACTATCCAGAGAATTCCAATATTTCGGACTTTATTGAAATTCACAGCACTGCACACCCCCAACCAACTACAACCGCAGGCTTATTCATAGGAAGTCTAGAGGTCCTCTATGAATAAGCCTGCGGGTGAAACATGTGAGAGGTTGTAGTTGGTTGGGGGTGTGCAGTGCTGGCATTTGGTGCTTTATACACTTTTATTCACTGTTATACTGGATTTGCTGTGAATTTCAATAAAGTCTGAAATATTGGAATTCTCTGGATAGTGCGGTCGGTCTATTCATATACTACTGCATCGTTCAGATTGACATGTTGGCAAGCAGCGGCCAATGGGGTGTATTAACGCATGTGCAGGTTACATAAACGTGCCACGTGTACAGCGTGCAGATAACACTTTTTACGTAGGACCTTTCTGCTAGTTGCTGCTATTTCCATACGCCTGTGTGCATGTAATCAAATAGTACTAGATACACACACACACTAAAGAATTCCACCCATTAATACAAGTGCAAAGTGTGGTGGCATCTGATGCATTTTCAGCACTTTGGGGGCCTTCCACACCTCTGAAGCTCCAGTACTGATTGGTTAGCCACATGATCCATGTCTTTTCTCCAACACAGCATTTCTTTGCATTATTAATGCCATCTGTACGACTAATCCATAGATAGTTCACCTTGTACCACTTCAGTTAAACTATTATACTGTAAATCACACTCAGGAAAAAAAAAGTCAAAAACATGAAGCAGGCACAAAACAGATAATAGGTAATAAATTAATGTTACCATCAGCTGTCCTGGATATGTTGACTCAAGCAGGCATCAAGAGTGAAGATTTACTGCACAGTACTAACGGCTATTTGTAAGATCTGAAGGTGTGTTCATTATGGGAGCAATACTGTTAAAAGGGAACTGGGTGCAAACATCTTTTGTGTAATAACTGGCATCCAGCAGGCCTACTAAATACAGAGCAGAACTCCCGCCTACGGAGGAAGAGATGAGCGTGTCTTGAGAGCATAGTTCATTAGAAGAGCTGTGATAACATGCAAGGATGACAGTGTTTGCAGACAGTGTGAGAGGGTGGCTTTTGGAAGTGCAGATGGCTGCAAGGAAGGGAGAAAGCTCACTTTGATATACAGGGCATGGCTGTTGTGGGGACACCCGTGCATGTGCAGTGGAAGCAGGACTGTTTCAGTGCAGGAGATTGCTAAACTGATACAGATACATAACTAGGGATTTTGTAACAACATAACATGAACAGTATGTGATTCAGTATGTGATTCAAACATACTATTTCTGTGTGATCTTCATTTGGAGAGTAAGAAGTGATGACAGGGTCTAATTAAGCAGATACAGCAGACTTCACTCATGTACACACTACTAACCTTAGTCAGATCTACTCCAGTGAGTGCTTGAACAGAAGCAGGGACTTCTGCGAGCAGGCGGTTCAATTCCCCGGTTATTTTACTGTTATCACCACTAAGAATGAGAATCTCTTCCACCTTGGCCAGAGGAGCAGAAACTTTGGCAGCGATCTGGAGATACAAATAACAGAGTCTGAAGATGAAACCCTTTAAAAGGAAAAAGTATGACATCTATAGAAAACTTTACAGTTGATGCTGAGCCATGTGCCTGGTTGAATTAGCAGCCCTAAAATCAAGATTTCAATTCATAAAATCCTCAGGGAAATGTTTGGAAGTGTGTAGAAGGGAATGTTCCAAAGGGGAAGAGGTGTGGAAAGAGGCTGCGGGTTATTCTGGTATTATAGGAAGGAAAGCATCCCTGGTGACCCTTCAGATATACATGAGAAAGTCTAGGTAACAGGCACAACCACGTGGATCCTGGTGATACCGTTTTGATTTAAAGATCTCCAGGAACCCTTTTTATTAACCCTTGCGGTGGGACTGCCCCCGCACTGCAAGGGTTAAATGCCTGCTGGTGTCTACGGACAAGCCGGCCAGCTGCCACAACGTTCCCTCCAGCCCTTCTCTTCCTTCACAACACTTCGGAATCTTCCTCAGTGTATATGTAATGATTTACGGGACCATAGACTGCTGCAGAGGAATGGGCGAGACACTGGAATGACCGATATAAGAAGCTGGCTCAGAGCTTCAGGTGAGTATAACTTTTTTTTTAACCTAGGCACAAATGAGCACTTAACCCTTGCAGTGCGGGGGTAGCCCCAACGCAAGGGTTAACTAAAAAAAATTCCCCTGAAGTTCTTTCATTCCAGATGTAGCTTTTCATAAAATGAAGACTAACAGGAATTTGGAACTGCCTTGACCGCTTTCAAAGGGGAAAGGTACGCCACATCAACAGTGTGAGCATCAAGATATAAATGGAGGAACTTGGAGGCTTACAAGTTAAGTAATCGCCCACAAGAGGTGCCCGTCACACCTTTATATTGAAAAATGATTTCACTGACACGGCTTTAAATAATATGATGTTCTGAACAGAAACATTTAAACAGACGTGTTGGAAAACCAGGAAAAAACCCAACCTAGCGCTGCGGTAGTGACCCATTACCTCAGGCAGGCACTCCAAAACAAGGGCCATTTTAGCAGCCTCTCCATAACTCTGGTAAGCTCCAGCCTTCAGCTTCATCCTCTCAGCTTCTGCTTTACCAATAGCTTCAATAACCAATGCTTCAGCTTCTCCCACTTTTCGGATTTTCTCAGCTTCGGCCTGGGCAGTCAGCACTTGTTTCACCCTATACAGAAATGCCACAAACATTGATTTAAAGAAATAGGATACATCTATTCTTTATATGTAGTATCTACTTTAAATTCAAGCTTGCGTGTCCTTTGTTATGCATGTTCTCAAACATTATATTGAATGTTTTGAGAAAAAAATAAAATAAAAACATTCAGTACAGCTAAGTAATATGCGCATTTCCACGCTTTATTCCTTTGAAAAGTTACAAGTACAGAATGATCTGTACCCAATAATCTGCCAGAAATCCAGTGAGCTTCTAACTTCCTTGTTTTTTTTTTTATATTCCTGACCTACAATTTAAAAAAGGGATCCATTCACATATATTTTTTGAATTGAACGTGAAACGTAAATTGAAAAGGTGAAACTTGGGTGAAAGCATTGAAAATTACACCCCAAAATATCTATTGCTAAACCCTTTTTTTCTTTTGGATAGAGAAGGTAATGCAGTCTGTATTTAATTGAGATTTCCCTTCAATTCCTGTCCAATGGAGACACATGGGGCTGCGTCCGAGGATTTCTGCGGCAGAAAACCACAGATTCTTGCGGAGAGAATCCCAGGTGCAGCTGCTGTTCCCATTCAAGTTAATGACAGGCTGGCAGCGGCTGCATCTGTCAGCAGCAATCCACATGTAATCATCTATGGAATGATTACTTGCGGTTAGGAATAGATGATTGCCCCTGGAGGTAATGTCTCTGTGTCCAGGGACAATAATCTATACTGAACCGCAGGTAATCATTCCATGAACAACTACATGCGGGTTGCTGCTGACAGATGCGGCCGCTGTCATCCGGTCATTAACTTGAATGGTGCAGCAGCCACATCTGTACAGACCCACCTGGGATTCCTGCCTCAAGAATCCGTAGGTTCTTGCCACAGGAATCCCCAGCAGCAGCCTAAAGCCCCATGTGAATGGGACCTAAATCTATATCAATGGAAAAGAAATCACATTGTGAACAGCTGTCACCATTAAACATTTTCAACAACTGTAAAATTCTGGATTTCCAAACAGTCACAAAAAGAGAGGGAGAATCTCCCCAGCACCAAAAAAAACATTTGACAGAAGTTCCAAACCCTCATGACCCTATCCCAAAATGATAAAAATGGTTAAAGAGACGTCCCGCCACAAAGTGCCTATATGACTGGCCCTGTACACTGTACGTGACCAGTTATTTAAGGCTCTGTAATGCCGGTAACTGCTGATTCTCAGCGGTTACCAGTCATTAAAGATTGCCTCAGTATTGAGGCATCCATTAATTAAATAGTTAAGCTTTTGTAAAAGCCTCTTTTTTTAATTAATGAAAGAATGAATCCGTTACATGCAAATAGGGGTCCGCTAAATAGCGATCCAGTATTTGACAGCTGAAGATATCAGAGAGGTAGCAGAGTGAGTCACCTTTCTGCTATTAGTTTTGACAGCCCCATAGACTGGCCCGAAGTTTATGATACATTTCAGGCACAAGAATATTACAATGTATCTCTGTGCCTGAAATGTATCACTTCTGATCGTCTGAGCATGATCAAAAACCTTTAGGCTGGGTTCACACCTGGGCGTATCATAGGCATGTTTTTTTCCGCATGTTTCACTGGCGGTATGATTTATTTATTTTCCTTTATTATTTTCTCTATTTTTTAAAAAACTTTTAAACTTCCCGCCGGCTCCGCCCCCCCTGCGACATGGCTGCTCGCAAGGGACAGAACCCGGAAGTCGCCGGAGGACACAGCGGGGATCGCGGTAAGTCCTACGCTGTATTCCCGAGTGTGGCTCGGGGTTTCCGCTTTGTTAACCCTGATGCCACACTCGGGAATACCAATGGAAACGCGGAGAATTGCCCCAAAGAAGCTCCTGTACTTGTTTGGGCGTAGGGCATTTTTCAGTGCGTTTCCACGGGCTGAAATACGCCCAGGTGGGAACCATCCCCATAGGGAAGTATGGGATTTCACTGTTTGAGCGTTTTACAGCGCTTCGATCAGCGCTGTAAAACGCCCAGGTGTGAACCCGGCCTTAGTGAGATCTGATTCTGACATGCTGTCAGGATCAGTCTCTAAGGTTATTATTAGCTGTTCCTAAGTTTGGAGCAGCCTAATAATGACCAAAACTTAAAAAAAAGTTAAATTTATCAAGCAGTCATAGTGACTGCTTGATATAAACTGACACTACACTGTAAAAAAAAAAAAAAGAAAAAAAAGAAGAAGAAAATAAAAATTATATATAT